TGGCGAGTTTCCCCTCCCTCCTCCGCGAAACGCGGAAACTTTGACGTTTCATTAAATCATTAGAGAAACAAGACGATTCCCTGTACAGTTCTCGTTTCTTAATCCTCGTCTGAATTCAGGTTCTCCCCTACTGCGCGAAGCGCGGAAGCTTTTAAGTTCCATTAAATTATAGAGACAGAAGACGTATTTAGTTCCCCCACCCTACCGCGCGAAGCGCGGAAGCTTTTGCGTTTCATTAAATCATTAGAGAAACAAGACGATTCGTGGTACAGTTCTTGACTCTTTAAATAATCCTCGTCTGAATTCAGGTTTTCCCCTCTTGCGCGAAAGCTTTTATGACTCATTAAATCATTAGAGAAAGTAGACGATTCGTTGTAACGTTCTCGAAAATAATCCTCGTCTGAATTTAGTTTCTCCCCCCTCCCGCGCGAAGCGCGGAAGCTTTTTCGTTTCATTAAATCATTAGAGAAAGAAGACGTATTTAGTTTCTCCTTTAGCTTTTACGTTTCATTAAATCATTAGAAAACAAGACGATTCGTTGTACAGTTCTCGACTCTTAATCCTCGTCTGAATTTCGGTTCTCCCCTCTCGCGCAAAGCGCGGAAACTTTTGAGTTTCATTAAATCAAATTAGAGAAAGAAGACGTATTTAGTTTCCCCTTAAGCTTTTACGTTTCATTTAATCAATAGAGAAACAAGACGATTCGTTGTACAGTTATCGACTCTTAATCTTCGTCTAAATTCCGGTTCTCCCCTCCCGTGCGAAGCGCGGAAGCTTTTTTACGTTTTATTAAATCATTATAAAAACAAGACGATTCGTTGTACTGTTCTCGACTCTTAATCCTCGTCTGAATTCAGTTTCCCCCCTCCCGCGCGAAGCGCGGAAGCTTTTACGATTAATTAAATCATTTAAGAAAGAAGACGATTCGTTGTACCGTTCTCGAAAATAATACTCGTCTGAATTTAGTTACCCCCCCTCCCGCGAGAAGCGCAGAAGATTTTACGTTTTATTAAATCATTAGAGAAACAAGACGATTCGTTGTACCGTTTTCTACTGTTAATCTTCTCGTTTTTCTTCCTACGTCCTCTTCCTTTTCTCTCCTCTCTCTTTTTTTTTTTTTTGGCTGGCGATTTTTTGGGGGACCGCCCCCCCCCCTTGGCTACGCGCCTGCGGTCAGTTAAACACATGTTGATACCTTGTCCGACCCCGGAAGCTCACGGGTTTAAGGCAATAAATTACGGTCAGATAAGCATTCAGGGGCCCGCCTTAGGGCCCCTGGTGGGGTCGAGGCAGTGGAGTCCCCGGAAGCTCAGGGGTTTTAGGCGTTTAATTAATGGTCAGATGAGCTTTTTTTTGATACCTTATTATTTTGTGACACTGGCAGGACACTATTTGGCGTGGGGTCCAGGGGGCGAAGCCCTAAAAAATCAGGGGTTTTGGGCAATAAATTACCGTCAGATGAGCATCTAAGGGCCCGCCTTAGGGCCCTAGGTGCAATCCAGGGGGCAGAGCCCCCGGAAGCTTAGGGGTTTTAGGCATTTAATCACGATCAGATGAGCATATTTTGATGCCTCATTATTTTTTGACACTGACAGTTAACTATTCTTTCTTACTTGCTCTCTTTCTTTTTTATTTTTCTTTAATATCTTTTTCAAAAAAGTGAGGGGGGGGGGGGGGAAGCTCGAGGCTCCCGATCCCCGCCATACCTCGGGCCCTGACATGTAGGAATCCTTCTTCCCCCTTTTCTTTTCTTCTTCCTCTTCTTTCTTTCCCTTTCTCTCCTCTTTCCCTTTCCCTTCTCCCCCTGGATCCGCGCCTGGTTTCTTTCACAATGCAATCGCGTGACCAGAACTCAACTTCATCTTTAAGAGTCGAAAACAGTACAACGAATCGTCTTCTTTCTCTAATAACGTAATGAAACGTCAAAAATTCCTCGCCTCGTGCGGGAGGGGGAAGCTTCATTCAGACAAGGATTAAGAGTCGAGCACGGTTCAACGAATCGTCTACATTCTCTAATAATTTAATGAAACTTCAAATCTTCTGCGCTTCGCGCGGGAGGGGGGGGGGGGACAACTGAATTCAGATAAGGATTAAGAATCGAAAACAGTACACCAATTAGGGCATATTAAGAGTCGAGAACAATACACCGAAACGTCTGCTTTTCCTCATAATTTAATGAAATGTCGAAGCTTCCGCGCTTTGCGCGGGAGGGGGAGAAATGAATTCAGATAACGATTAAGAGTCGAGAACAGTACACCGAATCGGCTGCTTTTTCTCATAATTTAATAAAATGTCAAAGCTTCCGCGCTTCGCGCGGAAGGGGGGGGGGGGAAACTTCATTCAGACAAGGATTAAGAGTCGAGCACGGTTCAACGAATCGTCTACATTCTGTAATAATTTAATGAAACGTCAAATCTTCCGCGCTTCGCGCGGGAGGGGGGGGGGGACAACTGAATTCAGATAAGGATTAAGAATCGAAAACAGTACACCAATTAGGGCATATTAAGAGTCGAGAACAATACACCGAATCGTCTGCTTTTCCTCATAATTTAATGAAATGTCGAAGCTTCCGCGCTTTGCGCGGGAGGGGGAGAAATGAATTCAGATAACGATTAAGAGTCGAGAACAGTACACCGAACCGGCTGCTTTTTCTCATAATTTAATGAAATGTCAAAGCTTCCGCGCTTTGCGCGGAAGGGGGGGGGGGAACTTCGTTTAGACAAGGATTAACAGTCGAGAACGGTACAATAAATCGTCTAATAATTTAAGGAAACGTCTAAGCCTCCGCGCTTCGCGCGGAGGTCTATCACCCACATCCCCTAACGAGTGCTCTTCAAGTGATTCGCTTGCTCACTACCGCCCCTCCCTAAAAAAAGATCCTAGATCCGCTCCTGCATTAAAATATATCAGCTATGATGCTGACTAAGTTGACGAAATATTTCGTATATTTATGTCGTCGAGAAAAATGACCATTTGCGCATACGCAAGTACTATAGATAGTCCATAGGAAAAACAATTTAGCCTTCGGCCCCGGGTTTATAGGGTTAAATTTGTGGATATTGGACATTTAATTTTGTCGGTAATTGGTGGCTGGTTTTGTCGGTAATCGTTGGCCTCTACACCCCCACTGAAAAAGGTCTAGCGACGCCCCTGCTCCCAAGGGTTTCTTCTTCCTTTTCCCCATGTTCGCCTTCCTTGGCCCTGAAGATCCTTCATCTTCTTCCATGCTGTGCATTGTGCGAGTACCAATTCTGACACCGGTAGTCACTGGGGAGCAGGTCTTTGTTAGTTGTTTTTCCTAGCTGGTAACGTCGCTTTCATTCTCTTGCAATTGCCGATAAACATATAACAAGCGCACGTACGTTCCATCTCAAGCAAGCCGCGCCTAGAGCAGCTGCCTGGTCTTACATCCCGATTCCGCTCGCTTCATGAACGTTCGTGCAAGAGCTGCATCACTCGCGGATGAATATCGTTCAATCACTAATCTTAGAAGTTGTCAAAATATTATAGAGGAAGCGCGCTTGCATGATCTCGTTCAAGTTTGATATTTAACAACATAAAATGTTTAACTGGTACTGTATCCTTTTTTGAGGCAGTCACACACATCTATGATAAGTACTCTCATAGTTCTAGGCCTATTCATTTTACAAAACTGCTCCTGTACTGTACCTTATCTGATGACAAGATAATGCATCCGCCTATTCATACGTGCATGATTTAACTTTATTTCCCAAGCAGTAAATTCGTCTTAAATCTCTACCAAATAGGTGAATATGAGGATATAAAAAGAAATCAGCGACTGGAAAATGTTGCTTCGTTATTCTTCATTCAAATGAAAACTCCATCAAATATACTCATTAACAAACAGGCGGGTACGCAGGGAGGGGGGGGGTTGGGGGTTAACCCCCTTTATTTGTTTTAATGTGTACATTTTGGAGTAAAACCCCCTCCCCCCTTTGATTTTTTTTTTCTAAAAAATTATGTCAATGGCTGACCTAAAAAAAAATTCCTCTTACCCCCCCCCCCCCCACCGCTTATTCAACCGCTGGCTGAGTCGTTCCGATTTTTTTGGGACCAAAAAAAAAAAAAAAGTGTCCTCTTACCCCCCCCCCCCTCCCCTCCCCCGCTTATGCAGCGGCTGGCTGAGTGGTTGCGAAATTTTCGGCCCGATTTAAAAATGTTAAACCCTCCCCCCCCCCCTTTGAAAAAATCCTGTGTACGCTACTGTTAACAACAACAAATCTAAGCTCTGACAGGATAGCATTTACGTAGGGATATCACTGCCATTAGGGACTTTTAGATTTGCGTGGACTGACACGTGTGACGTCCATTCAAGGCAATGCATTAAAAGGATGTCGATCTACGTTGTCGTTGTGCAAATCTAAAAGTCACTATTCACTCTCACTAAGCCCACGAGTCCCGTTCGTGACGTCACGGATAGAGGCCCGACTCTACATGCACTTCCGGGTTTCAGACTTAGATATTTTGGTAGAGTTTACTCGCATAAATTCACCATTCTAAACTTGTTTTTGTCAGTTGGACACCATTTAATGTTATTCTGGGGGTTAAAAGCTTTCTATTGATGTAATTATCTCAATATTTGGGATTGTCTTAGAATATCAACTCGAATAAGTCTCTGAAAATGAAATTTGTCAGGAATCGACTGGTTTATTAACATATTCAAATTGCATGCATACTTTGTAAACAAAGGTTGTTTTTGACAACCTAACAGCGTGCCCGAGGCTGGCCCGAAATAGCAACACATAATTTAAGCAGACTTGATTCTAAGTACTGTAGTTCATTCATTAATAACAGGTTAATGGAATAACACATCCCTAGGTCCCTAGGAAAGAAACATCTGAGACATTTAATTTGTTATAGTGAACTGGTAATGTTTTAGCACTCATGACCCAGACAAACCTTGTACCGCCATAATTATGGTTGGCTCCATGTTTGTGACTATGTCTCATTTATGTATCTCTATTTCTCCTCAGCCTAGAAACCTTCACGATGGGAAAGACACTTTCTAAAAAAACTAAAAAGATGGCTGAACCCGCGAAGGATGACAGACCAAGTACAAGGTACAGATATGTTTAGCATAAGTCCATCGTTATACATGTATAATTTTTAAATTTGCACTGGTCAACGAATGCTAATGACTGAGTAAGGCCATTTATCACTTTTGAGAGTAGTTCAGGTTATTATTCTTTAAAATGTCATGTGAATGACTTTTGGTAGTAATTATAAACGATGGTTGACACCTGCTGTGAACAAAAGTTGCTCTTGGCAACCTAACAGCTTGTCCGAGGCTGGCCCGATATAGCAACACATAATTTAAGCAGACTTGATTCTAAGTACTGTAGTTCATTCATTAATAACAGGTTAATGGAATAACTTATAAGTAACTCATTCAGTGGACCCCATGTTTGTGATTATTTATCATTAATGTATCTCTATTTCTCCTCAGCCCGGATAACTTCACGATGGGAAAGAAATTTTCTAAAAAAACTGAAGAGATGACTGAACCCCCGAGGGATGACATACCAAGTACAAGGTACAGATATAAGTCCACCGTGATACATGTATAATTGTAAAATTTGCACTGGTCAACGAATGCCAATGATTGAGTAAGACCATTTATCACTATTGAGAGTAGTTCAGGTTATTATTATTTAAAGTCCCATTCCCCCTTCTTATAGCTACTTGCTCCCTCTATATAGTAGACACTGCCTAATCGGTGCATGTTGGTCCCCCACAGTCCCCTTTTTCTTATGTTAATTGAGAGTTGATTTGATTAGATAACCACCTGTCAATGACCTTGCAGGGAGGTCTAATCCCCGGCCAAACTAGTACAGACGGGATTTAAAATGTCAGGTATGATAGTAATTATAAACGATGGTCGACACCTGCTTTGAAAAAAGGAGGTGCGTTAGTTAAAACGAAAATATGACGTTATTCGTTATTCATCTCAGAGGGAAAGATATTATAAACAACAATCCACCAACATACACAGAATACTTTTATCACTGTACACTAAAAACAGATAAGATAATATAGGCCCTACAGTTGACCATTTCAAAACCATAATCTTTTCAATTAAATCAAAGCTTTATCATGTAAACATGCAAGTACATATGTGACCCCACACCGCAATCAAAAAGTCACATGGTGTAGTTTTCAGTCAGAGCCCAATAAAAAGCTCTAATTTTTTTAAATATATTTTTTTATTTTTTTTATTTTTTAAAAATGTTGTATTGATCTTTCATAATCACATTTTTACAAACAATCATAGGAGTAATTACAGCTAAAACAAAACACAAAAATAAAACAAACATATAACCTTAAAAAAGGTGTATTTGTGAAGGATGGCCATTTTAGCTTTTAGAATTTTCTGAAAGAGTATACTTTTTTTTAAAGTCGATTCTTGCACCCTCGTAAACAATACCTCCTGTTCATCCAAGCGAGAACACATACCACACAAAAACGATACCAAATGGTTTGGGATAAAACACTCTTTCATAAGATGTATAATAATTTCCTGTACAAAGATGATTTTAAAAATAATTAGCAATTTTCTAGGTGTAAATTTTTTTTTTACTCACACGGTAGTGTAACATGCTGCTAAAGCGTAACCTGATGTTAAAGGTACAGACCAGTTTTGGAAACGCCCCCCCTCTCAAAAAATGAGATGGAAACAAAACAAAAAATAGTGCTCACTATCCCCCCCCCCCCCCCCACTGAGCGAAATATCGGCCGGCGTGATTTTCATATTTGGCCCCCCTAAGAAATCCTGGATTTGCTCCTGGTTGTCATGCATGATGTATATGTGTAATGCACCTCGCATGTAGGCTGCTAGCAAGGCTCAAAATACACGGGGGCGGTGGGCGATTCGCCCCTGTGAGCTACACAGAGTGCTCTGGGGGCGATTGCAAAATTAAAAATCGCCCCTGTGGAATGATAAAATCAAGATTATCTTTTCTGTTATAACTTTCACACAATATTGTGTTTCAACTTTCAAACCTTAAACCAATGAAATGGAACCATGGAAGTTATATTTTAATTGCGTGCAGGATTTCTTGCTCGAATTTTTTAGTGTCTAGAGGCTGCCATATTGTAATAAAATAAACGCTTTTCGCCGCAAGATTGCGCTATATCTCCCATCTCCACATCTCTATGGGTATTACGGATACAAACAACGAAATCTCGCAGTGCACTGCGGCCGTCAGCAGTGGCTAATAGGGACTTTTAGATTTGCGTGGACTGATAAGTGTGACTTCCATTCAAGGCAGTGCATTAAAAGGACGTCGATCGTAGCAATCCACGTTGCCGTTGCGCAAATCTAAAAGTCCCTATTAGGGACTTTTAGATTTGCGTGGACTGATAAGTGTGACGTCCATTCAAGGCAGTGCATTAAACGGACGTCGATCGTAGCAATCCACGTTGTCGTTGCGCAAATCTAAAAGTCCCTATTAACTCCATGCTATGACTAGCTGCGCTGAGTAGAATACTGGTGTGCACGCTGCCTCCCCAAATCTGCTGGAGCTAGAGGGGATCGCGCAAGGACCGAAACGTGGAGAAGTTTTTCGTTGTGAAAATCATGAAACCTCTTAAATCTGGTGATTCCAAAAGACCAGCAAAATGATGAATCTCGACCAGTAAATCAACCGATAGCTAAAATTAGTAAACGGTAACCTGTTGGCAAGGAGGCGAATGTATACGGGCTTGGACCAGAAATTTCGTACAGAGGGAGGAGATCTGACCACTAGCTGCATGTTATAACTTGTAAAGATGTAAGAGGGAAATAATGCCGACTATTAATGATAATGATGAAATCGCAAAGAATTTAGGAGTATCATGGGTACCAATTCATTGGAAATTTGTATTAAAAAAGAGCCCCCGTCAGTACTAAAAGAGCCCCCGTTGACAAAAATGTTATTTGAGCCCTGGCTGCTAGACTCTAATATTAGTCGCTTCCATGGTATTTATCATAGAAATGGCCAGACTAGCGTGTAAAAAAATTGCGCGGCGCGGATAGAGTATCACGAATGCACTTCAAGATTGAACGTTTGCGGCACGTATTTCTGCTTTTTTGCGAATTTAGGTTGAAGCATTGCCATCTTAAAGGTAATACAAAGTTTTGGGAAGTTTCAAAATTGGGTGGAAAGTGATTCTTTACAATTTTGATATATTTAGATGCCCCTGCAGATGTATTATAAGCACAAGAAAAGTTAGCCCCTAAAACACGCCTCCTTTCGAGAAAAATTGAATATACAAATTTACCGGTGCTCCCGGTAAATTTTCATAAATTTCAAATTGCGCCTACGGCCGTGCAAAGGTAGCTGTGACCATGAAAATCTCAGAATATGTAGATGAGATATATAATTTCCAAACGAGAATAGCTAATTGGTCAATTTTAGTCAAGATACATTGTTTTATAGCTTAATTAATATCTTGGCCTTGAGAGGGAGCTATATAACATAAAGAGTTTATTATTTACAATTTCATAACTTTAGACTCGATTTCAACCGCAACAACGATCCCTGAATATTGTAGGGTCGCATATGCTTCCAATATGTTCATTTGAACCAAATTCATGACCCCATCCCAAAAATTTGTATTACTTTTAACCTCTCAAGGCAATAACCAATATTGAATGGATATTTTGCACCCAAAACCGGGCCCTGAACCGCAATTTTACCACTACCGGTCGCGAAATTTTTATTCCCAAACAGGTTTGCAATTTCTTATATTTCCGTTCTTCCTAATGGCTGATATATTCTACGTCATAAGCAGCTTGGAAACAGGTCACAAACATTTAGATTTTGATTTTCATTGCTTTGCCTCACTATTTATAAAGGCAAAAAAACCGAATAAACTGAGACTGGAACCCACAACTCTAAGATTGTATTACGCTGACCTTACCGATTGAGCCAACGATGGGTTAATCAAAGATTCTGCATGATTTCTATAACCCTATCACTTACCCTAACGGTTACGTCATTGATAATGACGTAACATATCAGCCAATCAGATGACCGGAAATATTAGCATTGGTTGTGGGTTGAACGCACTGGGACATACGCTCGAGTGCACACGCCGCCATTTTGCTTAGTCCTCGATCTTTTCAGCTCACAAATTTAAAGAATTCCAGCCTGGCCTGTCGTTGAGAAAAAAACACGACGTCACAACAGAGGACTAACGAAGATTGCGGATATCACGTGATCACGTACGAGCGCTGGCCCCATTTTCGAACCACTGTGAGCCGTCTACGTATATTTACAGCTCTATGATCAGGGGCCACTGGTTTCATCTGGCAGGTAGTTCCATTATGTGAATGAGTAAATTCCGAAAAAAATATACAACCAATGAAAACAAGTTGAATACCAGAAGGAAGCTCATAATTATTCTATTCAAAAGCCGCTCACCCCAAAGTCGCCTGACCGCAATGGAAAGAGTGAGGACTTGCGAGAGTGGCCGAAGTGCAATTGAAACTCGCTATTTGCTCATCTCCAACGTAAAAAGCGACTACATTGTGCTGGATTAATTGCTATGTTTTTTGCGACAAAATTACATAGAAAGGCGCATATTATTTGTTTATATAATACGTTTTGAAAGATTACCCAAGTGACTCCCGAACACCCCAATGCTGGAAATAAACGCACTTTATTGAAAAATTCACTTTCATGCAAAAATGCTTATTTGTTCTATGCACTTTATTGAAAAATTCACTTTCATGCAAAAATGCTTATTTGTTCTATGCACGCTAGTCAGATTGAGCGGATGAACAACGTAAATCCAAATGCCTGGCTACACGCCTGTCCCCATACCGGTGACTTGAAATATCAAGCAGGAAGGAATTGAAAATTGACCAGGACGTTTCGTTACATTATTCTCTTGTGATTTATAATGTATGATATCCAATGAATAGAAGTTTTGATTAGCTGTATACTATAACTTTAAATATAATTTGCTCTAATTCTATGCTTCTTATATTCTAGTGGTCAAACATCGGGTCAAACAAATGGATTTCATGACGTCATCACCAAAGTAGCAGACGCCATTTCAGATGATGGTGCTATAAGGGGACTTGGTCGTGAGCTTAACGTCCAAATGTCTGATATCAACCGGGCATTGGAGACGAATTGGGCTGGAGGTAGAAAAACCAGTAACGGTAATGTGATGCTGCTTCAGAAGTGGGCAGGGACGGTCAAACCATCCAAGCAGCTCCCAACTCTCAGAGCAGCTCTCATAAAGGTGGGCTTACTAGAGGTGGAAGAGACATGTTTCACAAGCAGCTGCAGCGGTAAGTTTCCCTACATAAACGATATCGTAAATGAAAGTACTTATAAAGCAACTTGATTACTTCATATGCGAAAACCATGTCCTTAGTTTGAGAAAAAAAATCCTCTACAAATTACATTGTATATCAACACCCCAAAGCAGTTTCCATTATAAATTAGTTAATGGGTGTTGCATTGGTATCTTCTGATATGTTGAAAAGACAATCTTATGCACACACAATTACGAGAACGTGAAATAAATTGTTACAAATAATAAACACAAGAGCTACAGTCCTTTCACGTGTCATCGAAGTTCATTTGTCTGCTGTAATTTTCATAATATTTATGAAATGATACGAAAAATGTTCTCTTTCCCTGATATACTTGATGTTGACTATTTAATACACAGAGAATTACGAAATAGAGGTTAACGTGATATTACAGCATGGGCTGCATGGCTTTCTACTGCACATACATTTTACTAGAACACGTGAAATAAAAATGTTACACAGAATTAAATTTTATAGATGATGTTTATTAGTAATTTAGTATTTTCTGAAAGATCTATTATATTTCGATAAAACACTTAAAATTTCTTTCATACAATCGGAAAATAGTTCAAATTAAATTATGCCAAAATATGTTAGTTTCCATCTAAATGTTGCGTTGTGGCATCATTTATCATGGTACATAAACACGTGATAACTACATAGAAATCTCTCGCCTGAAAGACTTTACTTTAAAGTTCAAAAGTTTCATGTGATTTACAGGTTCAATTTACCCGTCGGAGAAAGTGCGCTTTTAAAAGCCAAGTCTCACGATCGTTACGTTTAACTTATCTGATGGCGTTTCATTGGTTTATACGCATATAAAACTAAACCAATGGCATATCCAGCTAGGATTGATAAACCAAGGAAAGAATTTCACCCTACTAAAAAAACAACAAGAGCTAGGGTTGCCGAAGACAGCTCGGCTTACCCACTGCAAATTTCATGTCATTAATTTTAGTGAGAGGGGGTTCAAATGCATGGATCTGCGTCCGTATGCCGGGTTTATCCTTTGCCGAAGACTTATTATCAGCAGAACCTGTCTAAACAGAAACAATAATAGGTTTTTAACTTCCTCGGCAGTGATTTTGAAACAAGTTAGTATTTAATTTATTATTTATATTATTATTTTTACAATAACGCTCTTCTCTCTTTCCTCAGGTGACGATGAAGCGATGCCAAGTGACATAATGAAGTTAAGAGAACAACTGAAAAATAGATATCGCAAGAAATTTGGTCAGATCAAAACATCGCCTGTGAACCCTAATTCATGGACATGGCTTCAGCACATCTATGTCAGTCTCGTCCTAATGTTGGGATCGCGAGGGGAAAAAGAGGAGCCAATAGATTATGATGGGTTGTTTAAATTCATCAAAACTGACACACCGACAGGTTTTGTAACACGATTAGCTTTCATTGGAGAAGCTGGTGTAGGGAAATCGACGCTGTTTGCTAAAATAGCTCTTGATTGGGCTGAGGGTAAAATTCTTCAAGAAATCAATCTGCTTTTTCTTGAATCATTTCGAGAGATTAAAGAGAGCGGGTTCTTCGGGGACACTGTCATGGGCCATTTCCCAGATGATTTGGAAGTAAAGGGGGAAAGGGTTGATGAATATATCAGGACAAATCAGAGAAAAGCCCTTATCTTATTGGACGGACTGGACGAGGCACAAATCGACATCAAAAAGCCAAAACCCAATGACGCTATCGTATCGATCGTTAGAGGAGAACGATTCATTAATACCCCAGTCCTCATCACGACCCGTCCTTTTGGAGCTGATCAGATCAAGAGCATCATGAAGATTAATGACCATTACACGTTTGGTAAGGTTAAGGGCTTCACAAAGGAAAACATGGCAACATATATCAAAAACTATTTCAAAGATGATTTTGATTCTGCTTCGACCCTCGTTAACTTCATTGATACAAACCAAGTGGTTTCTGAGTACCTGGCACCCTTCCCGATATTCTGCAGTATGCTATGTAGCCTGTGGAAAACGCCATGTGAACGGGAAAATATTCAGACAATGGAAACATTCTCGCAACTCTTCAAGCGTATTGTCTTTTCACTTCAAGAGCAATATTTTTACAAACCAAATGAATTAGAAGAGGACTATGAAAGCCGCATGAGGAAAGCTAGTGAAAGTTTGAAAGATATTGGTTGTATCGCATTTCAAGGTCTGTTGGTTAAACAGCTCATCTTCGATGAAAAGGCGCTCGAATCATGCACAGAGGCTGCAATGACTGCATGCGAGATCGGGATTCTTAGCAAGGAGATTAGGCCGGCACCCTTGCAAATCAGAGAAAGTCAGCGAAAGCAATTCATCCAAGAATTCTCTTTCCCTCATAAGTTACTACAGGAGTACATAGCGAGTTTCTACCTTGCATCGCTGTTCCACGAAGATCGTCAAGAATTTAACAGAATCTTGACACACAAGCTGTTAAAGGACTACACAGAATTCAGATATGTATTGTACTTCACTGCAGCTCAAGAAAGTGAAGTAGGAGAGTCGGTCATGGAAGCCCTATGCAATGAAGTTAATGACACGGGGTTCATCTTTCAGTGTGCATTTGAATGTCATGATCCAGAAGCCATTGGCCCGGTCAGGAACCTGCTGAAGACGAAGACACATCTTATGTTACCTTATAGTGCTTCAATCGCTGCATTTCTCTTCCCGCTCGAAACAATAGGGAAGGAAATAGTAAGTTTCATGAATAGAATTATAGACGTATCTTATTTTTATTTATCTAATTGTAAATTGTATTTTATTGAGGAAATACTGTCATCTGTTGAGCTGTCAATAATTACATATATATGAAAATTAGGCTACAAGCAAAAGGACAACTACACATAATACCGTCTGTTATTTTGTTCCAGCCTTCTGACCCATAATCATTTAGAACTGCCATGTTGTCATTATTCCAATGTGTAATCAGTCTCACGTGAGAACGAGAATCATGTCACCGTCTGCCTTTTCCTCATATATGAATTTAAAGGACTTACCAAGAAAGGAAGAGAGTAACAATATACTGCTCTTTCGGGATTAAACAAAGAGCTGAGCCAACCAGACGGATTATGGAAAATATAGGTCATTCTATATTTAATATGCCCTCCATAAGTACCTCAATAGCTATCCGTTTTTCAGGTGTACTTATTACAGATGATTAAAACGAATGATGAGTCTAAATTTGATCTGTCCTGGCCATTGTCACCTCCCATAATTCGTGATAATAAAAATGTGTGTTTGTATCCATGCTATTTACATAATACACGATGTACGAAGCTAGCCTATTGGTGAAGACATCAATTTTTCCCCTTTTACAAATGCATTCGTGCTATAAATTGTTTTTGGCCACAATTAGCATGGTATTTTTTATTATAATTATTGAAAGTATTATTTATTGATCGAATGCTAAAATTCATTTGTTGTACAGGTAAGAAGAAGTTCTTCAATTCGTGAAACATTGGGTGTTAGCGAGTCCTTCGAAGCTAACGCATCGTCGTCTGGTGTAGCAGCAGCAGTAGGTCTCTTCACATTGCAGAACTTACGAGAGTTGACCATTGAAAAGTGGCGTCTGGATGACAAATTCTACACAGGAATGTCTGCTGCAGCTCCACAGTCCATGGTTTCTGATTATTACATTAATGTTGATGAATCCTACATTATAATTATCATTATTTTTTAATCGATGCATAGTAGTTCATTAGAATAAGTCTATGACATTTCATAAATTAAAAAAAAGGTCTTCCCGGCGGTCCAGACTTTTAGAGGACCTGTGACCCTATATCATAGACAGTGGAGTACTGCATGATCGATACGTCCGTTTAAAACTAAAACGATTAGCAATTCAAGTTCAAGTTCAAGTTTATTTTTTCTTTATTCCAACATGAATGTAATACAATTCAACAAATGTATTACATGTGACACAGTGCATAAAGGAACAATAAAATTATAATGAACTAGTTCATATCATGCATTTTAGTGAAATAGAAAGACGGGGAGACCTTAAAAAAGCTTAGCTTGTACAATTCAGGTCCCTCAAAGCAATATCATGTATAAAAAACCAGCCTGGTTATATAATAAAGTAAAAAATTAATACAAGCAATGTATAAACATGACTAAACTGAAGCATAAAAAAGGGTGGGGAGAAGAGACTATCTACAAATGAAGGCGATAAGAGTGATAAAAACATGGGATATAGAAATGGAAATAGGGGGTGCGAGAAGGAGAGAGACAGAGAGAGAGAGAGAGAGAGGGGGAGAGAGAGAGAGAGAGAGAGAGAGGGGGGGGGGGGGGGGGAGGAGAGAAAGGAAAAGGACATATTTCACTGAAAGTATATCCCTCCTCTCTCTCCTCTCTGAAGTTTTCAGAAAAAAGAAAAGAAATGAAAACCCGATAAATAAGAAAAGCTGGCTACAGGCGAGAAAGGGAAAGAAAGAAGAAAAGGTAAGTCGACAGTTCCCATGTTGCATTATAAATCACGGCAACATCACCATTTGGAGTATAGTTTAAGAATCACCTAAAGAATTGCTCAATAAGTATAACTTCACTTTAGGTTTGAAGACAGATATACTGACATAATGACTTATGCTTGAGTCAAGAAAGTTCTAAAACCTCAACAACATCAACAACAACGGAAGAGATAATTAAAGTATGTAACTCTATGGGCGGTGCAAACTCTTTTCCTTGTGCGGAAGAGGAAAAAATGTTGAGAAGAAAAAAAAATCATTCACAAAAGGAAGTGGGGGGGGGGGGGGTGTGAGAAAGGAGACGAAGGGGGAGGGGTAGTCGGAGGGGGGGGGGGGGGGGAGGAAGAACACTGGCAGTGAGATATTTTTTTGGGAGAGGTCAGAGTCAAAGGTGGGGCGTGGATAATCTTTGAACAAGATATAGGTCAGTATAATGTAGGTACAACATATAAAGCTGGAGTTTCACCACGAGCAAGAATATTAGGCATACATTTTCACTTCACTCCTGGCCTCTCCCACTCTCTCTTTCCTCCCGCTCTCTCTCTCTCTCTCTCTCTCTCACACACAAATACACACTCATACACTCAATCACTCTTTAGTCTCTACCAATCATTCTACTCTTCTCCTTGATGTACTTCTGCATAACCAGGAAATCCCTCTATCATGTCTCTCATTTGCTTGCATTAAATTAAGGGGATAATCTAGATAAGCATTTATAATTTTGTTATCTCTCCACTTTATTAATTGAACATGTATTATTTTGTACACTTTTATGTCATGTTTGGTGAAAATAAATTCAATTCAACATTCAATTCAGTTCAATTGACAAGGGTCACAAGGTATCAAGCTCCGCTGACATTGGAGCCTAGGCCAATTCTGTTTAAACAAGTTTACATCCCTTCGTATATCTTTCAATGTATATTGATTTTTATCATGCATTCAGAACTGAATACATAAATGAATTGAAATGAATTATTAAAAACTAAATATTTCCTTGACCTACAAATGAAAGATATCTTTTTCTTATATGAAGCTTAACACGAACCATTATTTATACAGCTAGGTTATAACAAACATAGATTATTATATCAAGAACAAATCAAAAGGACGCATTATAGTATTCTAATAATGGATTGCTTTGATGAAATCCGAGCGCGGAAAAGTATGAAACCCGATCCGGGTCTACCCGGTTGTAAAGCCGGATATATTCTCAAAGTCGTATGCTTCGGCATTGATCATTTTGTCAGGCAAAGTCGGAGGAAAGACCGTATGCGGGTAGTTTGTTGATGGATGGCTGGTGCCGCGGTAGAGGAAGAACTTAACAAAAATTTGTTCATTTGTCGAGGTCATAAGTGTATCCATGATAATTTTGATAATCTATAATCTAAATGAATGTTTATCTACATTGAGCTACACTGAGAAAAGGTTGGGTAATATTTTCTAACACTTTGCCCAACGTTGTGCCAATAGTCAACCCAACCATCTATTGGGCAATATTTTGCCCAGTGATATTGGTAAACGTAAGTACCCTACTTCACACGTGCACAATTGTTCCGTATTTTGACCTACAGCTTGGTCAAGATTTCCCAACAAGCGGGCTACCGTAGTCGGGTAGTTGAAGGGTCATATTTTCGCCCAGATGTTGGTCAACAAACGAAACAATTATGTACGTGTTAAGTAGAGTACTTATTATTAATGTTAACCGTGATTAAGCTATGACAAAACATCGAAAATTCTCGGTTTCGTTTTTTCTGGGACACACTGCATAATTACGTCATAGTACCAAGCATATCATTTTAAAAGAAAGCCCCCCCCCCTATTTAAATATATACCTTATTTACGTTTACTAATATGGAACTTTGCATTAAGGACAATTTTGGCCACACTGATAATAAGTCGAATTTCGACTTCAATAATCACACCGCTTCTGTCCTCTCTCATGGCGATAGTCAGCGTTAATTTACCAAGTTGATAACTGTTCCAATTTTGGGGGAATGCACCTCTCCGCCTAAACATGCTATGCATGTATACATGTACCAGGGGCAGCAGCGCCGAGCTCCCCCACACCAGTACGCAAGTGTCTACAAGAGTAGAACGGCATATTGTTATTTTAGCCTCTTCACACCAGCGTGTGTATACGCTAATATGGCAAGGGGGCAGTACTCCCCTTTCACCGACAATTACTAGCCGAGAAAATGAATCGCCGTTTCTGTTTAGTTAGGAATTATTAAAGGTAGTCAAATTATTGAATTTTGAATACTTTCTCACAAATTTTCTGTTGAGGTAAAAGCCAAACTTCAAAAATAAAGAGAAGGGGCAACTGAATTCACATCTATTGTGGTATAAAATGCCGATAATAGATAAAGCTGGACGCCGTTCTTGCGTTAGACTGGAAAGCCGGTTTTTAATTATGATCATGATTGAACACAGGCGCGTACGCAGGGGGTGTTTTGGGGGTTAACCCCCCCCCCTCATTTTTATTTTTGAAAAAAAAAAAATGAATACGCACCCTTTCCCCACACATAGCTGCATAACTATCCTGGCTGTGTGTTAAAAGCTGTTTTTATTGATTCTTTACATTTTAAACACCACTGTACAAAACTCATCTGATTTCACCGTCACAAAATCGGTACGTAAGTGACAATTGATGACAACTCAATAGCAGTAAAATACAATTTTTAAACTTCGGTCGGCGCGATTTCCAATTTTTCAAACACCCTCCTTGAAAAAATCTTGCGTACGCCACTGATTGAATATAATTATCCATCATTTGCAGCTGTACTAGTGCTATTACAATATTGAACACTTTGAACAAGTACATGTAATATCATATCAAAATCATAAATCTGTAGCTGTCAATTAAAAAATGGAGAGAAGGTAAAACAGTATCGCCCACCGTCCTACCCACCCAGGCGACGTAAATTATGGTCCAAAAAGTGCATTTCTCGCTGAAATACATGGATCACCATTTGATCAAATTTTATATCCCCCTCCCCCTCCCGATTCCGACACCAAGGAGTTAGATGCGCCACTTCCCCGTCGCTTCTGTATTCTGATGCAGTTAAGGCTTTTCTTACAGCGTTTCACGTAATGTCTACAAAATACATGATGTATAATATTGTAGGCTTTCTGTGGTTGCTCAACATACGGTTAATTCAATTTTATAATTAGGGTGAGGGTGTGCTAATTACAGATTACATCATAAATATTATCAGGAGTGGAGGAGTATGTGCTTTTTTTTATTCTTTCCATGATCATATATTATTTTTTGATCAGGCAAACCTCGGAAAACAAAAATAGATCTGTCATCAATCCAAAATCCCGACTGTTCGACTCCACTCGTTATGTGATTAATTGGAAAAAACAGAAACCAGATCATGCATATTGAGAAGGTCAATCATTATAACATAAAGTTTAGTATCTAATGAATGTAAAGATTCAAATGAAAATAGCTTTATTAAGTATAAGACATAACAACTACCCCCTAGGACACGGGCGGCCAACCTTTTAAAGCCCGCGGGCCACAGCTAACGATTGGCATAACTTACCCGTAGGTAGTCTCCCCCCACACACACACCTACATTCCATACGTGTACACACCTGCAATTTTGCTAAAACAAACAAGCAAACGACAAAATCAGGATTACTTTTTAGTGTGATTTCTGGGGCTTGCACTTTCCTGCTATGTTGTTAACCTTCATTACATTCTCTGGTGACAAACGAGGCAAAAGTGGTTTACCTTTCTCTTCTATGAAGAAATACTTCAGAGACCAATCTGGTTTAAAGTTTCAGCCTTCATCGGAAACTTTCCTTTTCTTCACAGGTCTCGAAGTCGATGCCATGTTGGTTGTTATTTCAACCAAATCAAGGACACAGCAGAACGAATATCCTAAACTGTATTAGTTGTACATCTCATTGAACGCGGTGTAAAGGGAAGGGGACTATCCAATTTTAGATTAGGATTCATGAAAAAATTTAACGGCGGGAGAAAAGGGCTGTAATTGTTTCAAGACAAGTATGGCATTCAAACATATTTCTCGATTCACAATATTTGTATATTTGCAAACGTTTAATACTGCGTGCGGAAATTACAAACAGAAATAAACACGGCGAGTGATGTTAAAGTCGTTAATGTAATGAAATGAGAGGGAATTTGAGGAGTTTTGTATCAACCAAGTAACGAGTCAAAATGTTGTGAATGATGAAAACAAATTATGGAAATAGAGATAGCTGTGTGTAAATGTTTTACCTATTTCATCGCTGCTATGCGGTTCGCATTTCATTTATGAGCCATTTTTATTGTTACTTTTTCAATGCTCCGCGGGCCGCAACAGAAGAGCTCGCGGGCCGCGGGTTGGCCACCCGTGCCCTAGGACAACTAACCCTAGGACAACTACCCCGGACAACTACCCGGAAAACTACCCCCGGACAACTACCCCCTAGGATAGTTGTCGAGGGGGTAGTTGCCCTAGAGGATGGTTGTCGTAGGGGGTGGATGTCGTGGAGGTTGGTTGCCCTAGGGGGTAGTTGTCCTAGGGGGTAGATGTCCTAGGGGGTAGTTGACTGGGGTGGTTATCCGGGGGTGGATGTCCAGGGGGTAGGTGTCCTTGAACCAATTAGATTATATGATCCGTTTTACTCTCTTTTTCCCTTTACTGTATTTTTATTTTATTTTTACAAAATATTCGGTTTCACTCATTCTGTGTGTTTCTTTCAATCTCGCTAAAAGAATCCCATCATACTAAACATAAGTAATACTTCAATTAAAGATCCTACAAATAATTTATTGTCGAGTCGGACTTTGTTGCGTGAAAAGTACCCCCTTTTTTTTTGGGGGGGGGGGGGCGGGGCTGACAACAAGAAGCATGAATCATGTAAATCGACTGGAATTTAGTGTGATAAAGATATATATTCATATAAAAGTGTCTTTTAAAGATCGCATCCCATAAATAGTAGCTCGCATTTTTATTTCTTATTTCTAGAATTTATTTACATTTTGTCAATATAGTCTCAAGAAATTAACGTATATCTTCATTGTGAATACACAGATATAACATTTGTATGCAGCTTGAACAGTCACGATCTCTCTTTTCCAACTATCTATGATTAATAAAATCTGTGTTTCTTTCTTTATCTCGTCTTTCTTGGCCCTTACCAGATCCATTTCCCTTTTTCTTCTTCTCCATCTCTCTCTGTCTCTCACTATGTTTATGTCTCTGTCCCACTCTCTCTATCTCTACCTTCTATTTCTCTTACACTAAGAGTCTAAGCAGAGGTTAATGATGTCACATGAATAACAATTAAAAAAATTATTTGAAGAACACATGTCGCCTTAATTTGATATTTCTTTTCACCTCTCTGTCAAATCACCAGATTGAGGAGCTAACGCACAGGAGGGCAGATCTAGGTTTTTCTGCATCCTCTCATTACGCGAGAGGTCTCTGCTTCATGCCAAATCTTCGATCACTGAATCTTGACCGTTTGAAGTTGAGTGATGAGTTCTACTCAACGATAGCCACTGAGGCATCAAAATCAAAGGTATACCCAAACACGATTTTAATTGTAAACGATATGTTTCGAAATATTTTTGTATTCTTTAAATTCAACATAACTGTATTTTCACACTATAAACAAAAAAATAATAATTTATAAACATTAGTCACAAGTACTCTCGTAAGGCGGACATTATATTTTCAGATTTGACAGCTTTAAAACCTAACAACAACAACAACACCAACTCTCGTATCAATATGATAAATAGTTTGGCTATGCTGACAAGGAAACAAATCGTGTGAATAGAATGAACTTTGATGCATAAATCACATTTGTTGTTTTGTTTTCATCTCGTCATTCTGTGAACAAACCACCCTCCCTTTCACTATCTCCCTATCTCTCTCTCTCTCTCTTTCTCTCTCGCTTACTCTGTCTCTCGCTTTCTCTATCTCTCTGTTTTCTCTCTGTCTCTCTCTCTGTCTCTCTCTGTCTCTTTTTCTTGCTTTAAAAGCAGAAGTAGAGGTTAATAATTTAACATTAATGACGATGAAAATGTTTTAATTAGACATGTCGCCTATACTTGATAACAATATTCACTTTATTCGACCTGTCCTGTCACATCTCCAGATTAAGGAGCTAAAGCACATCGCCGCGGATCTGGGTTCTGTATTTCGTTTTTAGAAATAATTATATTTTGCCAATAGTCTTCAAGAATACATTACATGTACAGTGTAAATAGAAAAAATATATAATGTTTATTATGCTTAAAGGGACTAGATGTACAATTAAAGATAATCATAAAATTTGAGCGAAAACGGACCATTGTTCATGGTACAAATTAGGAAAAACTGATCCGATCGATTCCTTAATTCTCCTAACTATATTATTACAATTTAATTACATTTTAGGTGAATGGAAATCTCACAAAGAAATAGAATGGCTCTACATTCCATTCCAGACATTTAAGTGTTGACAGATTTTTATAGCATGTTTTTATGTCTTTTTTTCATGGAAAAAAATGATGGGAAAATTCAAAAAATGGTTGGGAGAATTTAGATTCAGGAGCGCCGCACATCGACGCCCGTTCGAAAACCCGTTGAACTTTGTTAAAAATCTTCATATTGCGTGAATTAATTTCGGATTTGGGGCATCGTAGTTGGATAATACATACATACATACAAACATAATTTTGCGTGTTTTGAATCCTGATTCAACAGATTTGTGAAATCAACCATCACAATGTTACTAAGTACCTTTAATCCTCTTTTCCAAATGTTCACTGTTGGTCATAAAGGTGGAATAATTTTTTTACCCTAATTAATTATTTCATTACAAATCTTTATTCTCCGTTTTCGTATGAAGACTATAACTGATTTTCTTATAAAATTGAAGATATTTATGGCGTATATATTCAATACTGAATGAACGCCATAAAACATTTACCACCAACAACAACAACAATAGAATTATTCTGACAATGATTTATTCCTAATAGATCTAAATATTAGTATACATTCTCAGATTTTATTGAATAATAATTTGCGAGTGTTTGTTTTGCGTGACTGCTTAAGCATGTGTGCGCTACTATGCTTATAAACTAGGGGATCTACCTCCTTAAGTCATAACTGACATTAATACAGATCGATGCCTCACAAAAGGGCACTAATATAGCGAATCTACACGGTTTTGATCCTGGGGCCTCACAGTTACGAGGCCATTGCTTTGCCACTGAATAATGACTGTACGCAGCGGGGGCTAGGGTAGGGGGCAGCCCCCATAAATAACAAACAAAGAAAGAAAATGCAATAAGTTGTCAATAATTCAAAGCATTTTCTCCCAATCCTCAACAGAATAGAAATCCTCTGTGTGGCCATGCCTTGAACCAAAATGCATGGCCCTACAGAGGAATATCCTGTTTGAGACCGGGGAAAAATGCAATGAATCATTGATAATTGATTGCATTTTCTTGTATCAATTTTATTTGTCGATGTGCTATTTTAGTGCCCTTTTGTGGGGCAGTAATCATCATTACTGTCAGTTATGACTTAAGGACGTAGGTCCTCTAGTTTATAAGCATAGTGGCATACAAATGCTTTAGCAGTCACACAAAACAAACTCTCGCAAATTATTATTAAATAACATCTGAGAATGTATACTATTATTTAGATCTATTGGGAGTTAATCATTGTCAAAATCATTCCATGAATTGGGGTAAAAAAAATTGATCCACCTTAATGACCAACAGTGTATATAATTTATGTAATTTTGTTTTCATCTCGTCTTTCTTCGCTCTTGCCACACATCCATTTCCTTATTTGCTGGTATTTTCCCCTCTCTCTCTCTCTTTCTTGGTCTTCCTTTAAAAGTCTAATTAGAGTTTTATGATGTAACATTAATGACGCTGACGAATATTTAAGTCAGACATGTCGTCTATATATATATATATATGCTTAATAATACTATTCACTCTATTTAACCTTTCGTGTCACATCACTAGATTGAGGAGCTAACGCACGAGAACTCAGATCTGGGTTCTGCTGCATCCTCTCATTATGCGAGAGGTCTCTGCTCAATGCCGAATCTTCGATCAATGAAGCTGGACTATATGGAGCTGAGTGATGAGTTCTACTCGACGATGCTTTCTGAGTCATCAAAATCAAAGGTATACCCAAACAAGATTTTTATTAGAAACGATTCGTTTCTTGATTTTTTTTCATTCTTCAAATTCAACATGAGGGGGTAACTGCATTTTCAAACTTTTTAAAAGAAATTGAATTGACATTTATTTCCATCATTATGACAATTTATACAAAGAAAAAATATGGAATTTCATAACAGATCACAATATCAAAATTACATACAAATTGACATAACAGCTTTCAAAATTTAAAGAAAATATGAAGGTATAGACCACAGTACAAATTGAAAATGGTGCATTCGTAAAAGCCAATATGGCTTGACAATTGAATGCACCAGGCGCAGAAGTAATAATAACATATACTTGGAAGAAGAAAAAAATGAATAAAAAAGAGAAATATTTATTACGAGAGGTGTGGGCTTAAAATAAATTATGCATTATAAAGAGAGAGAAGATTTTTCTTGTAAAGTCTTTTGAATGAATTATTAAATCCGTCAGACTGTAAAAAAGGAGGTAGGGAATTCCACATTTTAGGACCAACATAAAACGGTATAGACTATTTTCTTGTATTTATCACCTTTGCCCTTTTCTGAAAAGTGTTGAGAAGTAAGAATCAGTACGTGCTCATTTCAGGAAAATGATGCCCCCTTCTTTTTTAACACACGTGTATTACATAACTTGTGATATTACTATCATTATTGACTATAGACAGATGGCTTTTCTTTAATATTTGGTAATGTAGAACATGTAAGATTAATAGGCCTACTGTGAATAACTAAACATAATACCTCTTTGTTTATTTCTTCGATTTGTAGATAAAAAAATTAATCTGTACAAATTAATTAACACGAACAATGAAATGAAAAATACTTCTAATGTGTTCCTCAACTAATAGTCAGTAACAGTAGATAAATAATTCCTGTTACCATGAATATTTGGATTACAATATTTTTCTCGTTTACGACGCATTAATAACCGATTAATGTGAGAACTGAAAGATTTTAACTGCTTTTAATCGTATTTCACATGACCAAGTTATCATGTAGCACCTGTTGCTAAAGACTGTTCTCACTTATTGCTTGTAAAATATACCTGATATCAACAATATGGCACGCACAAAGTCAACTCGCGAGCCTTTCGCCTCACATTATTTGAAGCAATATGTATTCATGCGAGTTTTCATTTGTATGTAGTGAATTTAGAAGAATTAATAAAATGCTTACTAATCCATGTTGAAAAAATCAGATGATTTAAACCTACTGAAAACAAAGAGGAATAAGTGTAACATACTCTCTTGAATATATCATTTTGATGTGATATCATCCCACCGATACAATAAATGTAGTACCTCTAGTGAAATACATCATGCCATGTTTATTGAAATGCTTTTTGTTTATTATAATATGATGATTAATTTGAACTATAGCAGAAATAGACACAAAATCATCAGACTTAGTGAATGATAAAGTTACTAAGATGCAGATTCAGCTGATGTCGGGATTGGGTTACTTTGTCTCAGATTCTCAAACAAAATCCTGGATTTAGCTCATGCTGCAATGATAATTATAAACCTTTAGGTCAGTCAGGAACCTCATGACTTTTACAAGCCGATCGCCTGTCTGATTATCAAGATATTTATAATTGAAAATCGAAATTTAAAAATTCGTTTTCCTAACGGTTTTGATAGCACTTCAGTATATTGGGGGAAACGAGTATAATGGTAAAACGGGTCATTCAAAGAGTTTTCGCTTTTTGAGGCACTTCATGATCATTTTGAAGTGCAATATTTTAGGGCTTTAATATTACACCATATCACAGACACTGATAACACGTAGGGCATGCATCTCAGATTTAATATCGTTAAACGATGCCTTTAAAAAGGTGTTTATGCTGGTAAAAACAATAATTGGATCGCATTGTGGATTTCACTTTGGTGTGAACTGATAAATTGTCTCTGCACAGATCCAGATGCTGAGTTTGGGATATGTTTCCATAATTCCATGTCGACTACACTCCATTCTCTCGCTCCCACACCTCCAGTCACTCAGCTTGACTGATATCAGATCAGTTGACATGGACGATGGAGAGACACTGGTATGTATCTTTACTATCCCAAGATTGAAGTCAGAATCCTCTTTTTGTTCCAAGCTCAAAAGAAAGGGGTTCAGAAAGACTAGACAGACTAAGTTTGAATGGTAAAGGAATGGCCGAAAGTATAATGTATTTTGTCTTGAAATCAAGTTAAAACGACAAACTACGGGCTGTTTAGTAAATCTATGGATGATTTAATATATCAATCATCTATACATGCACGGTTATCATTTTTTCAATTAGGGATAAAGTTTAACTATGCATATTTTCTTAAACTTCGTTCAATATTGATTGATGAATGATTGCCGTTGGCTATTTCCTATTGCACAGGACTTCAAGACAGAGTTTTTTTGTTGCTTATTTTTTCATAATCAAATTTGTAACTTTGTTTTAACGTGAAATCATTTAAATGATTTTTTTTTAGTCTTGCTGAACGAATATCACAAACAAAAAATGATAATGAGTACTACAATCCCGTCATCTTCCACTGAAAGGGAGGATTAACCCTCGTTAGTAAGTTGGCTTTGGTCATGTTGGTGGAAAAAGACAAAATGAATGAAAATTTGAAAGGTTTCAGAAAAAGCAGAGAAAGAATAAAAACGTTAAGAAATGTTGAAAGTTGTTGTGATAAAACTTGTATTTGCAATGCAGTCATGATGTGTTGGGGTAATACTCCAATTGTATTCTATCCAAAATGCCGCAAACACCCTTTCCGGAGTCTTATGATTGACAAGAATTTCTCAAATGGAGGGCAACACACGTTTAGGTCTAATGGAACGTAATCTGCTGGTTCACTTATATGGAAAACAGAGAGGTATTTTTAATATATTCCTCCGGAACGGCATCGAATATGACTGTAATGTCAATGAAAGATTCTCTATATCATTTATAGTCCCAGCATCCAAACAATTAAATTGTATTCTTTTTCCCACTTTCTCCTTACTTTAAACTGATGAAAATCCTTTAAGTTTTATTATTCTATATTTGTGGAATATTTACCAAGCATGATATGAAAAGTTATTCAAACAATAATGAGTCAGGTTATCTACTATAATTTACATTAGAGTTGGTATTCATTCAAATCATATGTGGTGAGCATTTATGCATCGCTGTTTCCTGTAGACTCGTCGAATAACCTCAGTAGATGAGCTATCTGTGGATGGTAAGCATGTGACCAGTCTGTGGAATCTTGGACTTCATACATCATGTCCCGGAGTTAAACAACTCAAACTGGACTGGTGGCCCGGGGATAACGTCGCACCAGACATCGTCACAATGGCCTGCTGCCCATTCCATCATCTAACTCACCTTCACATACAGGGATTGGAGAGCATCTTTGCTGCAACTACATTGAGTGATCCCGTGTCATTCTGCAAGGCGGTGATAACATCATGTCCTCAACTCAACAAGCTGTCCATTACCCGCATTAGCCTGTACAACGAGAAGGCAGCTGAGATCATCAAACTCATGACCACTCATACACACCTGACAATCATAGCGTGAGTCTCATTTGATTTTATGATTGCCACTTTATGTACAACACATTGTAGAAAGACTCATTTGTGTTACTTTTTACTGTGATTATTTTTTCTCTTCATTTTCTTTACCACCTCTCTCTCTCTCTCTCAGTCCCTCTCTCTTAATTAATTTTCTCTCTTCCTTTTCTAATATTCTTCCTTTTCCCTTAAGGACAGTCGAAATAGTATTTTTACCCATTTAAAGTGACTCGGTAACATTGTTGAAGGTTGATGAAAAAACTGTAATTTTTGTATATTCCTTCTACTGTACTTACCCTCTAATAGGTAACAAAATCCTGTGAAAATTCTCAAACCACAAAGAAAACTATGGTTTTCTTTGAAGGCGTGATTAACAGTAAATTCTCCCAATTATTTCTGAATTTTCCCAACCGTTTTCCCTCAAAAATAAGACATAAGGCAGGCTTTACAAAATCTTTCAACACTTAAATGGTATATAAAGCCAATTAATTGCTTTGTGATAATTTACATTCACCTAAAATGTAATTAAATTGGAATAATATAGTTGAGAGAATTAAGAAATCGATTAGATCAGTTTTCCCCAATTTGTATCATTAATAATGGTCCGTCTTCACTCAAACTTTCAGATTATCTTTAATTGCACATCTTGAATTTAAGTCACTACCTTAGCACAATTTTCTCTCATTTAAACAATGTTACCAAGTCCCTTTAAGAAGTGGGAAGCAGTTAAAATGACGTAATATGACAAATTATTTATTGTCTTATTGGAAAATATGCATTTAAATACTAAATTCAAAGGGTTTTAGCTCTCAGAATTATGTTTTTATGGTCAGGGAAAACACTGACAACATTTTCAGAGGCAACATTATAGAGATTAAAGTTCATATTTTCATCTAAAAAATATCGTTGTTATAACCAAATTGAACGAATCAAGTGTTCAATGCAATGTTTCCAAAGTCATTGAGAAAGTTGGACAACCTTTTGAAGCAATATTAAGATTAATATTTGCAAAATATGCAAAAAAGCTGCCAGCAGAGAGGTTAAAAGTTCATAATTTTAATCATAATCTTCCATTTAAAATCCCAGTTAAATCAATTGAAATAATTTTGGCATTGTCACGCCGAACAGGATGAATACATTTCAAGATGGGTTGAAACAGTACTTCATGCATATGCAATTTATTTTTTCATTTCTGGGTATTAAAATCTAAGGTTATAATTTGAATTCATATTTTCATATAATTATGATGGCCAAATATTTGCAATGTAAATCAGAAAATTATTTCACCATGTCTGGAGACCGATAATACATAGGTTTCAATACATGAATTGTTGGTAGAACAGACTTGGATACAATTTAAGATAAAAATATAATTGTGTAATACTTGTGTAATCCTTATAAGCATGATATTAAAGAGGAAAACTAGCGTTAATTGATCATTGTTGAATGTTGTTATCAGAAGAAGAAATAAAACTGTTATTACTGCTACATTAGTTAGGGGTAGTTGCACTAAGGTCTGGAATGCTTCTCAGAGCGGGTTGTCTTAAAGTTCAGAATATAATGTATTGTGCACCCGAAATGTACTGTTTTATTACTATAGGTTGGATTCGTGTCGTACGGACGCGGATCTGGCTCCACTGTTGTCTGAGGTAAAAAGTGAAGGCAAGCTGACTGTCTCCCTGAAGCATGGTGGTGGGGTGAGATATAACAATAGATTACATGCCCATCATTTGATTAATTCTTTTCCCTCTTTCTAAAGTAGGATATTCTGGCCTGATCAAAATGATCACGTCTAGCTATAGGTTTTTTCTTGATCTACGTAACGATATCCAGAAACATGACCTTAATATCTTATTTATAGCTCTACCTACTTAAACAAATGTGTCAAATGATCATGTAGCATGAATATCAGCAAATCGAATTCTATTTTGAACCGTGACGAAAAGTAGAAAGATAAAACATACTTTTTAAATTATTGCAATATCCATGAGTGTGAATATACGAGTACATATTGGAGAGAAATTTCAACGAATCACAATGCTCTATCTTAGCAAACATAAACTACACTTAGCACCATGGCTAAAAAGTAGATACATTACCCGTGCTTCTTACCATAAAGCAATATCCATGAGTTTGAATATACGAGTGTATATTGGAAAGAAATTCGTACGGATCACGGATGTTAAGGATGAATAATGTAGTTGGTGGCCTGCATTTTTTTCAATCAAATTGCCTGTATATTCTTAATTCTGTAATAAATAACAACATCAAATCGAATTTCCTGAAGACATGATGTCATTCAAGATACTATGTCCCTTTTGCAGCCAACATCAAATTCTGTATGTCATATCTGGGAAATTTACACATTTGTAGCAGCGTCCTAGTATTCAAATTATGGAAGGAAACCCGTTTACCTTCTAGATTTTGCTGTCAGACACTATTGAGTGACTGACTGACATCTTTTTTGCTTTGGTAATAACATAAGTACATTAGAATTTGTCTAAATCAATAACCCACTACTTTTAAAGGCCGAAATTAAACTGATTGAATCTTTGTGCAGCACAAAACGTACGACCATTCGGTAAAAGGGTATGAAAATCAGACTATTACTTAGGTGATTACAATCACTTAAGTCGATTCGATAACTAATAGTCGTTATTTTCCCAATCATAAAAGCCATTTTCAAGCCATTTCATTTTGAGGGAAGTTCTAAATTAGTATTGTCTTTTAAACGCCGTTGATATTTAATCTTTCGATTTTTGTGGCCTGCAAATGGGACATAGTACCTTTAAGATGGGTGATAGGTACGGAGAGTAGGCAAACGTGTTTATGAACGTACTAGGGTCGTACGTATTATAGACATTATTTACGAATTCTACGTCGACCACAACTCGTTTTACGATTTTCTAGGACGGTTCCAGAACGTAGTGAAAACTACGTTGTTTCAAGTACGTTGTCACTCCGTCTAATTGCAGGACGGGGACAATTTCGAACAGGCTCAAAGTTCTAGAACACTCTCCCGTATAGCCAGTTCGAGCCCGTCCAGGAAGTTCTTAAACAGTTCTTAAACAGTTACTACTACGTTCAACTCCGTTCCCACACAGTTTGAGCCCGTTTGGCAACATTTTCCAGAACATATTTATAACTAGTTCGGTGTGATTGGGATTTAAATAGATAATATATAATTCACCTCTCTCATATTCTTATGCAAAAATGCATTACATATTTTGAAAGAAACCTATATTTAGAAAACCATCATTATATATATATATATATATTATTTCTGGTATTCTTATGTTTCCATAATCGTAGAGGAGGTTGTAAAGATAACGCTCAGTAATATGTGGTTTGGCCGTCAAGCAACAACCCCGGGCAACAACGTATCAACGTTGGAAGATGTACGTGATGGCAGCAGACTACTGCAGACTACTGCAGACTTCAAAATGAAACTTGTCGAGTGTTGCGGTAACCAGGCTCCCCGAATAACTAATTATATTAACTGAAGGATATCTCAAGTTAAAATGCATGAAATATCGTATCATAAACGTATTACTGCTTATGCCCTGTCTCGATACTTGGAATTAATAACTTTATAATGATGTTGAAGCATATGGAGAATGTCGATTTATTTTCAGGCGAATTTTAATTTTCTGCAGCCTCTTCGAAAGTACTTTGAACTAAGCAAAGCATTTTAGAGAGAGAGAGAGAGAGCGGGCATGCATGTAGATGGAAGCCAGCATTAATATGGAATTTAAAACAGATAGAACGATAGATTTACCTGAAAAGAAATCCGGGTAGAGAAGAGGAATGAGAGGAAACAATGCAGCACACATCAATCATATTTTTATATACTAGAATGAAATGTCTTTCAAAAAAGTATTTTCTCCTTGAATCTGGAAGCATGGTATAGAAAATAGATGCCTTCGCCCTAACCTTTCTTGATTGACTTATTAAGTTCCTGCATTGATTTTTTTCAGTATCTCTTTTTCCCCCGTATCATCGTATAAGATTGGTTTGTCTTTGGTTTATATATCATTTTATGACATTTATTGAGTTCTGAATAGAAGTACATGTACTGAGTATACCATGATACCATCAGTATACATATATTAAAACCAGAGAAACTTATTTCAATCAAGCTTCAAGGTTAGCAAAAGTTTGACGGCGTGTGAACCCTTACCATTTTACATAATCATAAAAGGCGGTTCCTAGTGATCAAAATTTGGGTTATAATATTAAAACAATCTATTCCAATACAACCTAGAGCCTACAATATACAGGTTTAACTCAACAAAATATGCTTTTATTTAGGCTTCTTCATTTCCTCTTTTCTAATTTGTCTTACATAATATTATGTAAGTCCTTAGTTTACAAGTAACTACAAACCAATAAAAGTTATGTGATAACCTATATGAACTTATTTTTTATCCAAAAAGAAATTGTATTGTTACTATCATTACATTTCTGGTAAGTAAAACTGACAATGCAGAACGTGAAATGTGTAATATGAAATGAATCGAACAGAAGCGATCTGATTTGAACTATTCTAAACTCTCTATAGATTGTTTGATAAACAATTCCAACCATTTTCTGAGTACTCATATTGGATAGACTGTAATGATCATAACACATTTATATCGCATTGTACTATCATAACAAGGTCATCAGGAATCTAATCCGTAAAGATCTGTTGATATATCCTTCATCACGATGATACATGTGTTCTGTAAGAATTTCCGGTATACCTGAAGGATTTATTTCATGAACTCCGGGTAACGTAATTTGTTTCGACTTTTCCTTCCTGTATACCTGACTATTCATCCATTATCAAGAAAGATTGTTAAAAATACCGTATGTAGCTTTAGACTTAATTCTGTCCTATCCAATCATTACTTTCTTTTGAAATTAAAGAATTGAACATATTTGTTTTCTAAATGTAATCGTTATAATCAAGAAGTGAACATACTAGTTTCTTGATAAGATGTACAAAAACATGATAAAGTATTCGCTATGTATATGACTGTGTGTAAATATATCATAATCATTCTATCATATATTCGTTTAGATTGATGTTTTTTAAAATTTTGTTTTGCTCTTCAGTCAAATGGAAAAAGAACATCCATACACATTGTATTTAAGTCTTGTGTTATCACATCACTTCCCAGAACGGATACATCTAACTAGTCATGATCCTAACTTTGATATGATCATTTCTAGTTTGTGACATGCATGTAACAGTTATTGATGTAGTAAAACAGAGGAATAGGTCCTCTTGATCTCGTTGTAATATTCTTACATCAAATCGTGATCACTCCGTGTATACATACAATTTAGTTTATTTGTGACATGTATGTAAAAGTCGTCGATGTAATAAGGGAGAAATTAGTAACCTTATCTCGTTTGGATATTCTTGTATTCAACTAACCATGATACTTTTTTCAATGTATTTAAATCAAATTTTGTCACATGAATGCAACTGCCATTGCTGTATTTAGAAAGAGTTTATTCTATCTCGTTTTAATTTTCTTATATTAAACTAATCAAGATCAAATGGTATATACCTAAAACCCATCACAATGATGCAATGTAAGTTATGTTTTTCTATGGCCAGCATATCTGAATAGGATTGACCCATGTGATATCTTATAAATTGTCAAAGATCTATTCTCATCTACAATGACAATTTCTTTCAAGTGATATATTTTCAAACATCCAATGCTCCCGTATGTACAGTGTTTTTACCATAATATAGATTTATACTATATTATACATTTCTTTCTATTTTTGTCTATATTGTAATGATCGTTTCCATTAATGCCTGTTTTGTAATGATTTTGTCAGTTGGTGCATGGGCAGTACACCTGAATAATGGAAAGTGAAGTGGAGTCTCGCAATGTGCGTTACGTTGTGAGAGGTGTATTATCTTTGTTCGAGTTGTATAGAAAACAAAGAATCGCTCTCTTGACAGGCTCTTTGATTGCCTTGAGAAATTCTAGAATCATCTGAAAGCCTGTGAATTTCTCTTTGGTATATTTCCCACGTTCATGGATTTGCAGGACTGCTGTAACGTGTTATTGATATCTGAAATGTATTGAATATGTAAACATACATAATATATATATAGACATGTATAATGTTCTCAGAAAGGGAATCACTTTACACTCATATGTTTACGTCTTTCTACACACATTTTTTTTTATATCTGAATTTATTTTGATAATATATCTGAGAGTGTACCTAATTGCATATAATAAAGTGGAAACAAAGAGTGCGAAGTAGGACTTGCAGAATATGGAATTTGTTGTAAGAACAACAAATGTTTGTAAATATCTCATCAGTAATTGTAGAGACAACAGTTCCATGTATTTATATAGATATTTGAGTTTATTGCATACGTGTAAAGGTATTTGGTTTGAACGTAGGTGGCGTTTTACGAATTGTAGACGTGGCTCGTAATTTGCAAGTGGAAAGTTCCAGTGATATTATTAATTATCTATTTTGGTTATGAAATAGTGAAAGATAACCAGTTCATGCATTTAGAGCAATTTAGAATGTGGTATATATAAAATATGATCGCTTATTTCGATCCTTAAAGAAATATTAAATATATGATGAATTGTAATGTATAAAATTGTTTCATCATAAAATGCGATGAACAGGGCATTAAAATTGTTACTTGTAAGAACCAAGGAGGGCAAGTGAAGTTTATAGTTTGAGGATTTGGTGATATAAATGAAAGAAATGACTATATTTCTTTGTTAGTTATACATGTATTTTTCGTATGGTCATTTAAACTAGATTTAGTCTTTGGAGATTAATTGGTTATGTAATATTGACATGATAGAATATTTAGATACAATCAAAAGTATATTGTATTTTTATGAAATACAGAGTTTAGTTGAATTCATTTGTTACCCATATGAGAATAGGAAAGGAAAACTCTTATACATGTTTTAGAGAGTGAATTCATTTATTAGTAACATAACACATACATATATTTATGAGTCCTTTGATTTATATCTTTGCAGATTTGAATACAATAAAATATCCGATTTCAAGTGGCAATCTGGTACGGTAAACTGAGTTCTCTATTGATCCATGCAGTAAGACTGTCATTTGCTTTAAATGATTGTTTTATCATGTAATAAGCAACTTATTTGGTTATGTCGTAGACCTAATACATCCGTGGCTATATGGATTTTATATGTTTGTTGCAGTTGTGATGTTTTTTTTTTATCAACGTAACAAAAAATGCTGTTAAGGTCATTTGGTAAAAATCTTTCGTGTCTGTGTGTATGGAGCTAGCTGTTCTAAGATATATCGATTGTCAGCTCTAGGAGGACAACACTTATGTTTGTTTTATATGTACGGCATGAAAGATATATATTATTAATCCAAATACATTGTCATTATTCATAAATTCTTATATTTGTATATTTTGAGATGAATCAGCATAATTTTGAGATTAATCAGCATGAATAGAAATTCATCTACAATGAACATACGAAGTTTCATCGTTAAGATATCAATAATTTAGTGAACCAACCGTGACCCAAGATATCGAATGACAACAAATGATATCCATTAAAAAATCACTCAAAGTGAAATTTCCCCAAAATGCAGACATTTCAAGACATAACATATTATTAGTGGTTTCTTTTTCCTTACAAGTCTAGGAAATGGTAAATTGAGGAAAATACAATCCCTTCGACTTTTACCAACACTGACTGTTTCTCAGAGTGCAGTATTGTGTTTATTGTACGTGTGTACATATTAATAAATATACGCACTTTCAGGGAATTACAAACAGATTATATGTCTTTGTAAATTTGTATAAAAGAGAAGGATCGATCTATAACCGATTGAACTCATGGGATCCAAAATGTTTTTGTTGTTGAAAGATGGTAGAAGGGAATATATCTCAAGAAATTGAATAAAATAATCATGAAAGCCATTCACATTTTTGAATATCGCCTCAGAGCTTTATTTACGTAAACTGAAATAAGTCGGATAAGAGGTGATCGACATGAATAAAGACGGAGGGTAAAGCGCTTTCACACAAAACAAGAAATTATTAGATTGGAGAGTGCATGAAATAGAGAAAAGGCGTGGTGTAAGTAGCTGAAAGATGGAGACGGACACAGAGAGAGAAAGCAAGGGAATAGGCCATTTTCGTAATGTAACCAAATTTAATGCATAAGTCTTTGTAAAGTGCCTCAATACAAATTATTCTATTCACCTGATTAGAATAATAGTATTTCAATAGACAGAATCCGAACTGCATACATTAGTTGTTGCCAGGTTGGACAAACATTATGGCTTGACCTACCTAGCAACACTTAATATATGCAGTTGCATTCTGACTATTGAAATACTATTATTCCTATCAGGTGAATGAAATAATTTGTATTGAGGCACTTCAAAAAGACGTATGCATTAAATTTGGTTACATTACGAAACTGGCCTATTACGAGAACGAGAGAGAAAGAGAGAGAGAGAGAGAGAGAGACAGAATAGGAATGAAATGCATACGAAAGCAAGAAAGCACATAATTACGCAAAACAGTATTACTGATCACTCCACATTTCAGAGACTAACCACTCAGAAATGCATGATGCAGATTAAAACGCTTCACCGTTATAAACATCAATATAAACCTGTCAATTATAAACATGAGTCCTGAAGAAGATCATCAGGTATAGAGAGAAAGCTTGACAAAACAATACAGGAGACACACAGCAAAAGGTTTATACGATCGAGTCGTAATTACCTCATCATTAATTCTTCCTACATAAAATTATATATGCCTTCCAAGTATGGAAA